ATAAACAATCTGTGAAGAACCAGAACACTCATTTTTATCTGTGTGGCAAGTTCCAACTTGGCTGAATTGAACTGCAGCTGATAGAGAATGTATTTTCTGCTTTCTGGGTGATTGCCATTTTAACCACCGGATGAAGGAGATGGAGTGAGTCTCCGGAGGCCCGTGTGTCCATCAGGCCCCCGTCTCTTCATGACGGCTTCTCCCTGAAGTCTGTGCTCTCACAGGAAGGAAGCCAGCATGCTGGGTGAAAGGCTGCCTGGGCAATTGGAGACTCTTTTGACCACATTCTTTTTTAAAATTTGGACTCTCCAGGGTTTCCTGTCAAAGACTTAATTTTCAATGAAGGGAGGTTTATACATAAAACATGAATGAGTGTTTGAGACATTTATATTAAGGTTGGGAAGAATTAATTTGAATAATATTTGGCATAAATCTGCTGTTACAGAAGCAGGAAAAGATGGCCCAAAAAGAAAGGAGGATTTTGTTTAACTGCCTCTGAAATTTCATCTGTTTACCTCAGCGTTTAAAAAATTATCTGACGCTTAGTTGGTTCTTTATCATATTTTCCAGATTTTTATTTACCCCTGCAGTTGAGAACCTGTGATTTGTTGTGTAATATTGAGACACACAGAAAATACTTTGGTTACATACTTGTTTCCCTGAAAGAATCACGATTTTATTATTTTTGTAAAAATGACATAGGTTTTCTTTAATTTAAAAAGAATAAGAGGAAATAAAAATCATTCAGAATACTGTACCCAGAAATAGCCATCATTAATATTTGCCAGACATCATTCTAGACATGTATATATTTCTGTAGTAAGAGAATGAGAGGAATTAAAAGAATATAAAATAAAATGTGTCATATATCGTATGAAATTTTATTTTATTTGAATTAACAGAAGAATAAAACTGAAGTGAAACAAAAATAATTGGTGAAATTGATACTTTCTCAAAATAAGAAATTGATTATCACATTTTTCTTTTTTTCTATCTTTTTTTTTTTTTTTTTTTTTTGAGACGGAGTCTCACTGTTGCCTGGCTGGAGTGCGGTGGTACAATCTCAGCTCATTGCAACCTCCAACTCCCAGGTTCAAGCGATTCTCCTGCCTCAGCCTCCCAAGCAGCTGGGATTACAAGCGCCAGCCACTATGCCCGGCTAATTTTTGTATTTTTAGTGGAGATGGGGTTTCACCATGTTGGCCAGGCTGGTCTCGAACCCCTGACCTCAGTTGATCTGCCCAGCTCAGCCTCCCAAAGTGCTGGGATTGCAGGCGTGAGCCATAGTGCCCAGCCCGAACTTTTATATTTCGTTCTTACCCATACTCCCAAGACTGCTTAATCCAATTCTGTATCCAACAGAATACCAACTCAACCTAGCTCCTAATCATGGCTTCTTTACTCTTCCTTTTCACTTTCTTTTGGTTGGGTGAATTTCATTGCCAACTCATGTCTTGATTATTTGCATGCTGGAGAATGTATGGTTCAGATAGCTAAGAGAGAAATTCACATTTAGAGTCACATGAGGATTCTGATATCATTTCCTCTCTGTTCTTGACTTGGGACTCACATAGGTCAGGGATTTTTGCCGATTGAACCATACTATGGCCTCTAACCAGCATTTAGACGTTTAAGGAACTATAGGACTCCTGGTCACTTCCTCCTCACCTTCCTGTACCTATTACTCCCCAAACCCTTCTGAGAAAGCTCCTTAAACCAACTATCCTTTTCACATTTTTTTTTTTTTTGAGATGGTGTCTCACTCTGTCACCCAAGCTGGAGTGCAGTGGCGTGATCTCGGCTCATTGCAACCTCTGCCTCCCAGGTTCAAGCAATTCTCATGCCTCAGCCTCCTGAGTAGCAGGGACTACAGGCACCTGCCACCATGCCCAGCTAATTTTTGTATTTTTAGTAGAGACGGGGTTTCACCATGTTGGCCAGGCTGGTCTGGAAGTCCTGACTTTGGGTGATCTGCCCACCTCAGCCTCCCAAAGTGCTGGGATTACAGGCGTGAGCCACCATGCCCGGCCCCTTTTCACATTTAAAGTTACTGTCACAGTTTTATGTTACCAGCTCCTCCCCGCTGGCTTTAGGGCAGGTCATCAGTAGCTCATCGAGGTTACTTCCAAAGGTGCTGGACCTTCAAAAGCCTGTTATATCTTAAAATTGGAACCCAGTGTGGGGTACAAGTGACTTTTTTGGTTATTAGCTTGTAAGAACTTTTTCCAGTGACAATTTTGACTACAAAAACAAAAATCTGACTGGGCGCAGTGGCTCACACCTGTAATCCCAGCACTTTGGGAGGCTGAGGTGGGCAGATCATCTGAGGTCAGGAGTTCGAGACCAGCCTGGCCAACATAGAAACCCTGTCTCTACTAAAAATATAAAAATTAGCCAGACAAGGTGGTGGGCGCCTGTAATCTCAGCTACTTGGGAGGGTAGGTAGGAGAATTGTTTGAATCCAGGAGACGGAGGTTGCAGTGAACCAACACGGTGCCACCGCACTCCAGCCTGGGTGACAGAGTGAGACTCTGTCTCAAAAAAAAAAAAAAACAAGGTAGTAGAAGAGGAAGATAAAAAATGAGTAGGAAAAAAGTTGAAGTCAGGATTGGAAATAACCTCACTCTAATTTTTTTTTTTTTTTTTTTTTTTTTTTTGAGACGGAGTCTCGCTCTGTCTCCCAGGCTGGAGTGCAGTGGCGCAATCTGGGCTCACTGCAAGCTCCGCCTCCTGGGTTCACGCCATTCTTCTGCCACCACGCCCGGCTAATTTTTTGCATTTTTAGTAGAGACGAGTTTTCACTGTGTTAGCCAGGATGGTCTCGATCTCCTGACCTCGTGATCCACCCGCCTCGGCCTCCCAAAGTGCTGGGATTACAGGCGTGAGCCACCGTGCCCGGCCCTCACTCTAAATTTTATGGTGTCTGTGAATCTATAATTCATATATCCCAAGTTTTCTTTCTTTCTTTCTTTCTTTCTTCTTCTTTTTTTTTTTTTTTTTTTTTTGAGACAGGGTCTCACTCTGTCACCATGCTGGAATGCAGTCGTGTGATCTCAGCTCACTGCTGCCTCAACCTCCTGGGCAGCACAAGTGATCCTCCTACCTCAACCTCCTGAGTAGTTGGGGCTACAGGTCTGTGTCATCATGCCGGCTAATTTCTTATTTTTGTAGTGATGGGATCTCGCTACATTGCTCAGGCTGGTCTCGAGCTCCTGGGCTCTGCCTTAGCCTCCCAAAGTGCTGAGATTACAGGCATGAGCCACTGCCACCAGTCCCAAATTTTCTTAGTCCCAATTTCAATTATTCTATGTTCATTAGAATAACAGATGTTTAAAGTGTGATCTCTTTATGTGCCAGTGAGGGAATCAAGTGAGAAGTGGTCATCCAAGGATCACTTATCCTTTGTCACAATGTTGAAATCCTACAGTGAAATCATGACTGGAAATTCTTCTGAGGCTCCATGAAATCTTTTCTTGCACAGTGTCTATATGAATGTGCCTGCAGCACTCTCCTGCTTTTCTCACCTGCTGCCCCTGAGTTCTCATTTACTAACCCCTCAACAACATCCATTCTTCTGAAGCAGATTCCTTGAACCTAGAATGATAGGGAGAACTTGATGTAGTCTAAGCAGATCTTCCTATGATAAGGCTGACATTTAAATTACTTTTTTTAAATAAGGAAAATAATGAATCTCTCTCCTGGGGAGAAATTATAAAGCAAGATCTCTTACAGGCCTTCAGTTTCCCAGGCCTTATTGATATGTAAGCTAATTTTAGGTGGATATGACAGTTTTTAACATTTTAATAGTCATGCTTTTACTTAATGTATATTAGAAATATATATCTAGAAAAGTGATAATGATATGAAGTTTCATGTTACAAAATAAAAGAGAGTATATAGATAATATGCAGATATGGCAAAGAGTTATGAGGATGATGTACAAATGACTAAAGTTTCAGAAATCAGAAATACATAGATATGGCCAAAATTGCACAGATGTGCAATAGGAGAACCAGGAAATAAGCAAATGTAAAAGTCAGAAACCTACTTAAATTATGCTTGTTACAAACTTGGATTTTTCCCTATTGAAATCTATAGTGTGATACAATAGCACACATCTGTAGTCCCAGCTACTTGGGAGGCTAAGGTGGAAGGATCACTTGAGCTCAGGAGTTGGAAGCCAGCCTGAGCAACATAGCAAGACCCTGTCTTTAAAAAAAAAAAAACAAAACTACAATGCGATGATTCTAAGTCGGTTATCCACCAATACATACATGATAAGCTTCATATGCACCATGCATTCTCAGGGAAATACGTGATTCCTGTGCTTCTCTGTAACTCGACCTCTTGCTCTACCACTCCAGAAGATACCTTGGAAGGCAACCAAATGAAAAATGTTATAATAAGAATCATTATTCCAGCTGGGCGCAGTGTCTCATGCCTGTAATCCCAGCACTTTGGGAGTCTGAGGCAGGTGGATCACTTGAGGTTAGGAGTTCAAGACCAGCCTGGCCAACATAGTGAAACCCCGTCTCTACTAAAAATACAAAAATTAGCTGGGCATGGCGGCACATGCCTGTAATCCCAGCTACTCAGGAAGCTGAGGCAAGAGAATCACTTGAACCCCGGAGGCGGAGGTTGCAATGAGCCAAGGTCACGCCACTGCACTTCAGCCTGGGTGACAGAGTTGAGACTGTCTCAAAAAAAAAAAAAAGAATAAGATGCATTTTTCCACTCTAATTCATTTTTGCAATGTGTAAACTATTTACAAATAGATACTTTAACTCTTACTAACATTTTTCAGCACACCCTATGACTGCTCACCACCTAATTGCCACTTGGCAGAGCATAAGCATGCTTGAGAAAGAATGGTCTTACAAACCAGTTTGGGTCTGAGATATCATGTGTAGAGACCCCTGTTGGGGAATTTGCGCTGTAGGGAGTGCTTTCCTTATTGCCTCTGACCTAATAATGTCCTCTTTTCTCTTTAAAACATACAGACTGTTGGGCGGGAGCTGCTGCTCCATCTGATTGACTATCTTGTAACCAGTGATGGCAAAGACCCTGACATCACAAATCTGATCAATAGTACCCGGATACACATCATGCCTTCCATGAACCCAGATGGATTCGAAGCCGTCAAAAAGCCTGACTGTTATTACAGCATCGGAAGGTAAAGAGGGGCTGGTCTGTCTGTACTTCAAAACAAGCAACGCAACAAAAAGGCTCCCGTCAGGCACCTGTTGGCCTTGGCAAGAGGAGTTGTGTCATGGTGAGAGCCCTCAGCCGGTGTCATGTCGCTGATGTGCCAAAGCTCAAGGCACATCAAGGTTGCCCCTGGCTTGCAGGAAGAAATGCAAATAAGGCTACTTTGCACAGGTGCCCGCCTAGCCTCTCCATCTTCATTTGCCACTCCCTCTCCCTCCCCTGCCTCCTCCCCTCGGGGCCTCCTTCCTGGAACTACCAGGTGCTTTCTCACCTCAGCGTTTTACACACACCATTTCCTCCCCCTGCCTAAACAGCATTTCCTCCAAGACTCTTTCTGCCGACCTGTCATACACTAGATTCCCTGATAAACTCTCAGATCACCTGGCACTTTACTGTCAGAGCACAACTTTTAATAGCTAATTTCTTGCTTCGTGTCTCTCTCCCCACTACACTGCAAGCTACCTGCAGGCAGGAATCCTGTCCATTATGTTTGTCGTCGTTAGATCCCCAGTGCCTGGCAGAGTACCCAGGCCCTTGGTAATGACTGGTCGATTTATTAGGCCAGTAGTCCAAGAACTAACCATAACCAAGAGGGGGTCTTGAAGGAGCTCTGATTTAAACGGTTTATTTTGTTTCAAGCTGCCTTGGGAGGTTTGGAATTTCTCAGATGTCTAATGTACATTCATTTGTATGCAGTGTATACATATGTGTTTGCTTTACCAAAGCTGAACAAAATCTCACCACTTGATTCCCTCCAGTTTTAAGTTTTTCTAGCATATTTAAACATGGCCGTTCCACATTTCACAAATACTTTTGTGTAATGTGTTTACTGTTGTTTCTGTTATCAGTTGCTACTTAATGAACCACCCCAAAATTAGCGACTTAAAGCAACAGCCTTTTTCTTTACTGTTGATTCCGTAGGTCAGGAATTTGGGCAGGGCAGAGCAGGGATGGCTATTCTGTGTGCCACAGGTCTGGGGCTCAGCTCTGGTCTTTCTGAGACAATTTACCTGGAGCCATGGACTCTCCATGGGCTCTCTACGTGGCTACTATTGGGATCTCAGGGTCCTAAAAGGGAGCATCTAAGAGCAGAAGTCCCAAAATACAAACACTTACCAAACCTCTGCCTGCATCACAATAGCTAGTATCTCATTGGTGAGAGCAGATCACAAGGGATGGGATGCCATGGGGTGTAAGTGCCAGGTGTGGGTCATAGCAGGCCGCCAGGGCAGTTATCCACCACACCCATACTCACATTTGGAAAGACACCTGGAGCCTAAACCAAAGGGCAAGACACTGTAAGAATCCACTCCCTCATGCCCTATCAATAAGCCCTAAAATATTCTTTCTTTTAAAGGGAAAATTATAACCGGTATGACTTGAATCGAAATTTCCCTGATGCTTTTGAATATAATAATGTCTCAAGGCAACCTGAAACTTTGGCAGTCATGAAGTGGCTGAAAACAGAGACGTTTGTCCTCTCTGCAAACCTCCATGGTGGTGCCCTTGTGGCCAGTTACCCGTTTGATAATGGTGTTCAAGGTAAGCAGGTACGGGCCCGGGTCTGGCTTCCTAAGTCCGGAGTGGGGCTGAGACTCTCTGCCTCTGGGTGGGGATCAGCGCTCCCTTCCCCACTTAACTTCTCCGGCACGGTGAAATGAGCTTCGTGTTCCCAACCCTAGCCATCCTTCCTGGAATTCTTCAACAGCAGATGGGCAGTGTGGCCGAACTGACAACCCACAGCTGGACATGCATCAGTGAATTAGTGAAATTTAGATTCTAGAAAATACGATCTAGTCAGATTTTGATTCTCTGACAAGAGACAACATGGCTAAAATAACATAAGACTGGAACAACTCATTTTTTTTTTTTTGGCTAATCATATGGACAATAATTGTTGACTCTTCTTAAAACTCTGTGGGATGAGGACCCAAAATATTACAGTAGCTTTAATTCACCCCCATAATACCTAATGAAATTGTCTTTACCTCCAGAAATTAGCAAGAGTGACTAAGAGGACACTTAATTTTTAAGCTGATTTAGGAGTTTGGATTTGTATCTGACTTATTTGGGGGCTATCACCTTGCATATGTTTATTATAAAGTAGAAAGAAGAATAGAGGAAGCATTCATGGAGGTGGGTAAAGGATTTCTCTCTAGGGAAATTAGAGCATCGGTGTGTGATGTGATTATGTCTTCACTAATATGGTGTTTGTGTTTCCTCTTACTCTTACTGCCCCTTTTGCAGCAACTGGGGCATTATCCTCCCGCAGCTTAACTCCTGATGATGATGTTTTTCAATATCTTGCACATACCTATGCTTCAAGAAATCCCAACATGAAGAAAGGAGATGAGTGTAAAAACAAAATGAACTTTCCTAATGGTGTTACAAATGGATACTCCTGGTATCCACTCCAAGGTGAGTTTCTCTTCATTTCTTCCATTCCCCTTATTGCCTTCACCCAGAAGTACCAGCTGGTTTATTTTGATCCAGCAGTTGTTAAAAGAACTTTAGGCACAATAAGCCCTTCACTGTGTCCTTATCAGCTGATATCATAAGGGCAGTGGGTGACTGATCGCTTGAGAGATGCTCAGACATGTTTCTCATTACCAAGGGCCGCCTTCATTCATTCAGTCACTTATTCTGTGTCTGCCTACTGTGAGCCAGGAATTGTACCAAGAAAGATGAACAAGACACACACCTCACCCTGGAATTGAACAGGGGAGACAGACACGCAGATAAGTAATGGTGATAGCAGTGTAATTAGAATAAAAACAGATTTAGAAAAGCTGCAGTGTACCCCAAGGGTGCGCAGAGCCAAAACACAGTAGGGAGTAGTGAAGACCTTGGAGAAATGTGATACTTACATCCCATCTAACAGGGACAGCTGCTACTAGATCTAGCTAATTATTGCCATGCAGCCTTGGGGAGCCAATACTGCCAGATCTTGCAGTTTGTAAAAAGAAGCTGGATTTGTACATGAAGTATCATGATTTTAAAGCCATTTTGCAGGCTCAACAAAAGAGCTCTTCAGACAGGATACAGCGGGAGGAGGGCCCCCAGTTCTCCACCCTTGGAATAAGACGGCCAGGTAAGGGACAAGATGAGATTGCTGTGTAGGCAACATGGAAGGAGAGAGATTCTTATTAGAGGGAATAATATAAACAGAAACCCGGGCTAGGAGGGACCTAGGATGGAAGGACAGGAGGCAAGACGGTGGACTGGAACTGGATTTCCATGCCTCAGGGGAAAACATTCCCTTTTAGACTAGTTAGCCTGACCCCACCAACAGCAAGCTGCAGCGTGCATTTCTGCATGCAGGCCACTTCCAAAGGTGCCTTCCCTAATTGTCACTTTGGATACACAGGCTTTCAGGTAATCTTGCAGCACAAGCTGGTATTTTTATGCCTGGGTGGCTCTCTGTCAGTTTTCCAGGTAATATAAATAAGCATAGACCACAACTGATAGGCAGTAGGTTCAGGCAGCATTCTAAACGTCTCTCTCGTGTCCAAGATACAGCCCCCTCTCCCACCTTAGGGCTCCTGCATCGTCCCTGCTCGCCACAATTTATAGCTAAGAAAGGGCCCATCCTGTCCAGTGGCCAAGCTATCCTTCATGTTCACTGTCTAACTTTCTAAGGCAAATCCAGATGTGTAGGAAATTGGCTAGGAGCGATTGCTGCTGGTAATTGTTCCCAAGCGTGCCTGTGTGTGAGCTGTGTATCCTTCTCAGACGAAAAACAGGTGAAGCCAGCTGCCTTGAGGAGCCCAGAAGAATGTGCCTGGCCTGGCCTGGATGTTTTGTTGGCCAGACCTGACCCGCCTTATCCAGAACTGCACTCTCCACGCTTGGCAGTCTCAGTCCTGGCTATTTGCTAGGGATCCATAATGCATGCCTGTTTTGCTATTTAAATTTTTTCCACCTGAGACACGTCCAGCCACAGGCTTTGTCTTGTTTTCTTTCCTCTCTTCTTTTTCCTTCTCCTACTTTTTGGTGAAAATGAGGTCAGAGAGAAATACAAAACCGGCAAGGTAAGTAAAGGAAATAGAAAGAACAGAGAAATTCTTCCTGGCTGGAATCTGGGCCGACTGGCCTACATAGATATTACTTAATATTTAAGTAATATTTTTATATCATATTTTGACCACTTTCTTAGCATTAAATTTTTTTTAAAGAAAAAAGCTCTTCTATTTTTGTTTTATTTTTAGAGATGGGGTCTTATCATGTTGTCCAGGCTGGCCTTGAACTCCTAGCCTCAAGCAGTCCCTCCCACCTTGGCCTCCCAAAGTGTTTGGATTACAGGCATGAACCACAGTACCTGGCCTAAAATTTTTTTCTAGTTCAGTGCTTCCAAAATATCCTGATGAAACTGAGAATACATATTTTCTTGGGCAGGTATCAAGTGTAACAAATTAAAATCTGTCAGAAACTACTTCCTTAAAAGTTACTATATTTCGTCAAATCCAAGATACTGTTGATTATAAAACCCAGTGTACCACCAAGAAAGAAAATAAAATATTTTCAGTTAAACTAAAGACATGATGTTTTTAGCCATAAAAATGTTTAAGACACATCCCAATTCAGAGATATTAAAGTATAAAAAATGTTGCATCTTAGGCCAGGTGCAGCATCTCACACCTGTAATCCTAGCACTTCGGGAGGCCAAGATGGGCACATTGCCCAAGCTCAGGAGTTCGAGACCAGTCTGGGCAACATGGTGAAACCCCGTCTCTACCAAAATAAAAAAAAAAAAATTAGCCTGGCGTGGTGGTGCACGACTATAGTCCCAGCTACTCAGGAGGCTGAAACATGAGAATTGCTTGAACCCGGGAGGCAGAAGTTACAGTGAGCTGAGATCGCGCCACTGCGCTCCAGCCTGTGCAACAGAGCAAGACTCCATCTCAAAAAAAAAGAAAATGTAAAATGAAGGCCACCACAGTGGCTCATGCCTCCAATCCCTGGGCGACAGAGCAAGACCCTGTCTCGAAACAAACAAACAAACAAACAAAATAGCCAGGTGTGGTGGCACACATCTGTAGCCTCAGCTACTTGAGAGGCTGAGGCAGGAGGATCGCTTCAGCCCAGAAGTTTGAACTTACAGCGAGCTGTGATTGCACCACTGCATTCCAGCCTGGGTGATGGAGTAAGACCATGTCTCTATTTTTAAAAAAAAAAGGAAAAACAGAAAAAGAAAGTACGAAATGATTATAACCCTTTGAAAGCAGGGGACCAGAGGAGAGAATTGGAAAGTCAGCATGAGCAGTGGCAGCATGGGCTGCACAGGGGGCTGGGCCTTTCACCTCTGAGAGGCAGTGCAGCATTCTTTCTTTGATCCCCAGGAGCACTCTGGCATATTGGGAAGCCCACAGGGGCTGGCGGAAGGTGGCCTGCACTCCAGTGTCTGCCATTTACTGGCCGAAACCCCTGGGCACTTTGTGCTTAACATCTGTGATCACGTGTCCTCATCTGTAAAGTAGGGGCAGTTGCTGTGAGGATTAAATGAGCTGATATGAAGCACTTCATACGGTACCTGGCAATAGTGAATGTTGGCCATGATTCCCCCAAATTAGTGTGCTTAGCTTTACTTAGTAAGTGTATTTATAAAGGATTTGTAGAAATATTTTTAAAGGAATCTTATTCTAGCTTATATCCATTTAAAATGCAATTTAAGAAACAAATGAAATTCAAAGAATCGCTTTTGTGATGTAGGATTTCAAAAAATAAAAACACAAAAGGACGCTTCCTTCACCCCTCACTTAATTTTGGTGCACAGTTGAACGTCAGTCAGCTCTGATCCAGTTACCCATATGGGGATATTTAGGATTGTCTGGTCATGCCTGGGTAATAAAATGTCAAGCCCTGATTTTACAAGCTAATGTGTCAAATTCATCTTTTCCTGTTTACATGTAGCTGTCTGATTCACTTGTCCCCAAAAGGCACGTGAAACTTGGCTCCACTCCAATTTTAGACCCTAACAAAAATTAAATATGCTTGTGTTTAGGTGGAATGCAAGATTACAACTACATCTGGGCCCAGTGTTTTGAAATTACGTTGGAGCTGTCATGCTGTAAATATCCTCGTGAGGAGAAGCTTCCATCCTTTTGGAATAATAACAAAGCCTCATTAATTGAATATATAAAGCAGGTGCACCTAGGTTTGTAAAATCTTCTTATTAATTCCCTATTAATACAAAATAGAGCATCTGGCAAGACCTCTGGGTTGAGTAAACGCAAGCCTTTATTTATGCTGTGTAGTTACAGCCTCGTTTGAGCGCCAGATCTGATGGTTAAGAATTCTCTCTGTGTGAGTATCTGCAGTGTGTGAGAAGTGCAGTGCCCGCTCGTTCATAGAAAAGGAAGTATGATGCATGTTCCTTTCATATGAGGGTATAAAAATCCAGAGAACCAGCCAGCCGTGGTGGCTCATGCCTGTAATCCCAGCACTTTGGGAGGCTGAGGTAGATGGATCACCTGAGGTCAGGAGTTCAAGACCAGCCTGGCCAACAAGGCAGAGCCTCATCTCTACTGAAAATACAAAAATTAGCTGGGCATGGTGACGCACGACTGTAGTCCCAGCTTCTTGGGAGGCTGAGGCAGGAGAATCACTTGAACCTGGGAGGTGGAGGTTGCAGTGAGCCGAGATGGTACCACTATACTACAGCCTGGGTGATAGAGTGAGACTCCGTCTCAAAAACAAACAAACAAACATCCAGAATCCTCCTAATTTTACATGTTGAATGATCTAGAAATCTGGCAAAATATCAGGAAAACAGGCTTCTACTCTGTTACATCATGTCCCATTTAGAAAAATACTATGTTTGCTTGTCACTTACCAAGGACCCTGAGAACACTGGACATACCACTTTGCATTTTTTTCCAGGATTGGGGTGGTGAGCTAGCACCATTGCCTTCAACCCCTCTTACCTCTGAACTCTGCTACATGTCCTGGTGCTAACAATCTTGCCAGCCTGTTTCCTGAAGGCTGACTGGCCCTTATCACAGATAGACAGACTGAATGTGGCAGAGAGTGGTAGCTCTCAAACGTGCAGCAGACGCACTGGGAGGGCTTGCTAAAACACATTGCCAGGCCCCAACCTGGAGTTTCTGTTTTAGTAGGCCTTTGATGATTACCGCCTTCCCACATGATGCTGATGCTGCTGGTCCAGGGGCTATACTTAGAAAGCCATTGTACTAGAGAAACACACTACTTGAGATGATGGAATCTTGTGCAGTTCAAGTTTATTAACCAGGTGGTGTTTCTTTAGGCAAGGTGTGGAAGGCTCTTCTATATTTATAGAGGTAAAGTTATCTTTATTCAGAATGGCTTAAAGAGAGAAATATATCAGGAATGGCATAATAGCTATGATACCACATAGAGAGAGTGTGTGTGTGTGTGTGTGTGTGTGTGTAGGTGTGTGTGCGTGCACGTGTTGAAAAGGTTTGCTGCATGGGCCTACTGCATAATTGCATAATTCCTGGAATTTTCTGCATGATTCACAGCAAAGCTTTCCTCCTGCTACAAAGAAGATGGAGAAGGATGAGGGAAGGTAGCACAAAGCCAGAGGGCTAAGTGCAAGGATAATTAAGGACCCTTCCTGGGCCACACATCCCTAAAAGGGATGCCCCTGCCCTCTTGCATACCTGTGTCCCCAGCCTCCATCCCCTGAACTGAAGAGAAGTACACAAAGATTACTGGTAAACTCACAGCGCTATGTCTAACTGGCTGAGTCGTTCATGGACTAGGTTGACTCCCTATGATAGGGGATGTTATGAAGTATCGTTCTTTCTCACTAGCATCCTAACAAAGACTATAAACTTATTATTGGGACTTTCACCTTCATTATGTCATCAAACGTTGTCTTGGGTTCTCTCTTGCTTAGTATTCTGGTATTTCTTTCTCCACTAGATTTTCCTCATGAGGCATGTCATGCATTAATCTAACATTTCTATTATATTTCTACTTCTATTGATCCTTTAGTTTGTTAATCTATTACTAGTATTATTATCATTATCATTAGTTTAGAGACAGGGTCTCACTCTGTCACCCAGGCTGGAGTACAGTGGCACAGTCATCACCCACTGTAACCTTGAACTCCTGGGCTCAAGTGATCCTTCTGCCTCAGCCTCCCAAGTAAGTAGGACTACAGGTGCACACCACCACGTCCAGCTAGTTTTTTAAAAAATGTTGTATAGAGACAGAATCTTGCTATGTTGTCCAGGTGAGTCCCAAACTCCTGGGCCCAAGCGATCCTTCTGCCTAAGCCTCCCAAAGTGCTGGGATCCCAGGTGCGAGCCACCGTGACTGGCTCTGCCTATTTTCTGAAATTCATTCTTCACCAGTATCAACATGGTTATGGGCATGCAAGTGAACATCAAATATGCTCTGTGTAACTGCACCACTATTTTCAGAACCTCAATCTAGCTGTAAAGATTATTTACGCACTGAATTAATGTGGGCTTTGAAGTATCATGTTGATGTAATATTGCCAGGGAAAGGGCTTTGTGAACTGATAAATAACATACAAATTGCAGCATACCTATTGTTATTATTTTCAATAATTTGGAAGGCTTACCAGTCCATTTGCACTAGGTTTTGTTTGTTTGTTTTTGAGACGGAGTCTTGCTCTGTCACCCAGGCTGGAGTGCAGTGGTGCAATGATCTCGGCTCACTGCAACCTCCGCCTCCCAGGTGCATGTGATTCTCCTGCCTCAGCCTCCCAATTTGCTGGGATTATAGGCACCCACCATCATGCCCGGCTAGTTTTGTATTTTTGTAGAGACAGGGTTTCACCATATTGGCCAGGCTGGTCTTGAACTCCTGATCTCAGGTGATCCGCCGGCCTCGGCCTCCCAAAGTGCTGGGATTATAGGCATGAGCCACCATTCCCAGCCCATTTGCACTAGGTTTTATAAAGAATGTTTATCTGCCTGTCTCTAGAATCAGATGTAAACAACTCACTCAAAAAATACATATATTGGCACATCAACCCTGCCCCCTTGTGGTTTAAGACAGATGCATAACATGGTTTAATAATGAAACCATATTTCAAAATACCAATACAGTGTGGTTATTACTCCTCCCTACTAGTACCCAATAAGAAACTAATGAATATTTTGTTTGTGAAGAATGGCAGCAAACACCCCTTTATTGGTATGGCTCTGGTTTAAGGACATTATTGATATTTGTCAAGCTGCATTGCATTTACTGGTTCCATTATACCAATTGCTAGGATGCTTCTGTGTTTCTGAGGTTTTGACCCATCTGGAAGTCTCTGAGCCACCTTGTCTGGGAAGGAAAGGCCTACTGCTTTAGTGGAAGGGCCTTGCCAAGAGGGCAGAGGCTTAGGTAGAGCCCAAGCTGTTTTGTCATCTGGCGATGTTTGCAATCTTGAGCAACCGCTTGTCTGTAGTGTAGTGAACAGAAAGTTGAGAGTAATAGCATCGGCCTTGCCTCCCACCAGCCTGTTGTAAGGTGTCAGTGGTGTTATTCTTTCAGCTAGAACTCACTGCAGACTTCAGCTGAAACTCGGGCCCTTGGTGCCGTGTTGTCCTGCTTAGAGGATGATTTACTAGGTTCAAGTTGAGTTGAGGGTGTCGGCAGACATTACGACCAAGGTAGCAAAGGAGGGCAAGTCTGAATTCTAGAGGCTTCGACTGTCTTGCTCGTCTCCATCTCTGAGGAGAAGCAAAGATGAGCCAGACACGGTGTTACCTGCTGTGGCCCTGTCTCTCCCCTCGACTCCTCAGAGCAGATCTGAACCCAGAGAGCAAGGGAATAGCTCACAGCATCCAGAAACCTAAGTTACTTGGGCCTATAAGAATCTGGTATGTGCTGAGTTCCAGAAGCCTGTGGGCCACAGATGTGGATCTGTCATCACATCCAAAATAGGAGGCAACTGTGACCATGCGGTGGGGACATGGGCACAAACAAGCAGTCTCCTACGTACTGTCCCAGCTCCGACTCTAAATCGTGCCCAACAAATGCAGAATTCTAGTTCTTGCCCATTTCCAAGGGAAAATGAGCTTTACATTTCTCCCGTGTGTCTCCCCATCTGGACACAGAATTTGTGTCTCAGATTTTATGTCTTCTCATTTGTGTAGTATCTGAGCGGTTTTCAAATTTTCATTTTTCTTTTAATATAATAGTGTTGGCTCTCTCTGCGTCTCTTGGGGTCTACCAGCCTTTTTTCAATGTTTCAACTTCAGCATATAAAAATAAATAACATTTTCTGGTAAAACAATTACTTCCCTCTTAAGTGAAAGGTTTGGTGGTGTGTAGACAAAATATTGTAAAGACATAAACAAGCTAAAGCATGCTTTTATTTGGCTGGTGGGAGGAGTTTTCCTTTGAATATAAATTCCATACATAAGCATGGTCTGTGTTTGCCCAGTAAGAGTGATATTCACATACACCAGGCTTCCATAGCTGGAATAACCATCTTTAGGTTTAGGTAAGAGTCATATGAAAGTGAGTCTTTGGGCCTGTAATCCTGGCACTTTGGAAGGCCGAGGCGGGTGGATCACTTGAGATCAGGAGTTTGAGACCAGCCTGGCAACCATCAGGGTGAAACCATCTCTACTAAAAATACAAAATTAGCTGAGTTGTGGGTGTCAGGTGCCTGTAATCCCAGCTAACTCAGGAGGCTGAGGCAGGAAGAATGGCTTGAACCTGGGAGGACGGAGCTTGCAGTGGACTGAGCTCGCTGACACTGCACTCCAGCCGGGCAACAGAGGGAGACTTTCAATTAAAAAAAAAGAAAGCGAATCTTTGGGTTAATTAGGAGATGATGAATGAGGGTCAAATTGGAATATAAAGACTTTCAACAGACATTTCTTCAAATGCAATGTTCTTCTTTTTTCTATCTTTGAGGGTAAGCAGACGCAGGTTAACTGGAGCTTTGATTCAGCTGCAAGCACACACTGAACACCTAGGTGGATGTTCAAGTAACTGAGGCCGTCAAAACCACTGTCCACAGTGACTGTCAAAAAAGTCCAATCTGTTATTAAAATGTAACTGCTTCTAGCCAAGAAGAAATTTGCTGCCTTTTTTTAAAGGGTACCATGACTTTTTTTTTTTTTTTTTTTTTTTGGTGTCTTCTGCAACTACTCATCACTAGTAGCCCCGAATTCTATTTCATCTTTTTTTTTTTTTTTTTTTTTTTTTTGAGGCAGAGTCCTACTCTGTCGCTCCAGGCTGGAGTGCATGGCAGGAGCTCACGCCTCACCTGCAAGCTCCGCTCCCAGGTTCAAGCCATTCTCCCTGCCTCAAGCCTCATGAGTACTGGGATTTACAGGCACCCCGCCACCATGCCCAGCTAATTTTTGTCATATTTTAGTAGAATGAGGGTTTTCACACCTGTTAGCCAACATGGTCTCGATCTCCTGACTTGTGAATGCTATGCATTAGGCCCCCCAAGTGTTGGGAATTACTAACAAGTGTGAGCACACAACGGCCCCGGCTATTTCATCATTATAATCCAAGTTACGAACAGAATGGTGTAATGTTAGCCAGCACGCACGGTAGAGCCACGCTGTAAACCCCAGCACTTTGGGAGGCTGAGTGGGTGGATTAATTTGAAGGCATGGAGTATCAAGAGCCTGACCAACATGGGAAACCCTGATCTCTACTAAAATAAAACAAAAAGGCTGAGGCGTAAGGTCCGGACGCATGCCCAGTAATACCCAGTACTTAAGGAGGCTGAGGCAGGACATGAATTGCTGAACCCTACGGCGAAGCGGAGGTTTCAATGACCTGAGATCAGACGCCATGCAGCCTGGGCAAAAAGAGCAACTCCATCTTCAAAATCCATCTCAAAAAAAAAAAAAAGGTGGTAATGTCCAATATATCAATGATAGCTTTGCTATCGTTTTTATATGACACATTGATATTTCTTCAGTTTGCTATGAGTTTATGGCGAAGTCAACAAAAATACAAGATGCCAACAGACACACCAATCCAGCACAAGTCAACCTGCTGAAACGCATGGATTTTCTAAGTGGTAGGAAGACTGTAACTCTCAGAGCCTGAAGAAGAAGGAATAATATGCAATAGCTTCTTCTTCACATATTCCTGCTTTGTGGGAACAAAATTGAAGACGCGACTCCAGAGATTCATACTAATTATAAGTGCACTTTTCCCCCTGCATATGAATTATTCTTAAATCCAAATAAAGAGAAAGAAAGAAAAGCCAGACCTGGGCTCCACACCCAAAAAAAATATAACCACAGCACTCCAGCACTTATGAGGAGGACCAAGGAGTAAATCAATTGCACTCAGAGAAGTATGCACACGAACAGCCCTGATGCAACATCGGCGAAACACACACCACCTCTACAAAAAATAACAAAAATAGCCCAGGAATGATGGTGGTCGTGTTGCTGTGTATACCAGCTACTTGGGAAGAGACTGGAGTAGGGAGGGACGCTATGAGCCTGGGAAGTCAAGGCTGCAGTAAGCCCTGATCACACCACTGCACTCCAGCCTGGGTGGCAGAGCAAGACCCTGTCTGAAAAAAAAAGAAGAAGAAGAAGAAAGGAAAGAAAGAATTAATGTTTGTTGATCCTCCTGTTCTGTGTTACTTACATTTAATCTTCACAACCATCCTGGGTGGTGGTATATTATCCCCATTTCATAGGTGATAAAATTGAGGCTTGGGAATGTTTAGTGACTTGAGAACTAGAATTCAAATCAAAACCTGACTGGTTCTTTCTGTCACACCAAGATATGATGATGGGTACACGCTATGCTTATCACATATCAAAGGACCTCCTAAGGGGGGCACAGTGTAAATAGCTCTTCAAAATAATGCCACTGAGGCTGGATGTGGTGCCTAACACCTGTAATCCCAGCACTTTGGGAAGCTTAGGCAGGTGGATTGCTTGAGCCCAGGAGTTGAAGACAAGCCTGGGCAACATGACGAAACCCCACCTCTACAAAAAATACATTAATTAATTAAATAAAACAGAATAATGCCACTGAAACCCAAGGAATAAATGCATAATCAGGTTACCAAATTATTACCAGTTTATGATTGGGTACTACCTAAAGATCAAAAGGATATGTATCAAGCAGTAGGAATAAATATAAATGGAACTGTGTTTAAAAAAGAGGCCAAAGAGGAACACACGATGTGAAAATAGAAGTTTACATCATTGTATAGAGAAAGGGAGAAGGAAATGTGGCATTTTCCTCCTCAGGAGGCAAAAAATGAAGAGTCAGGAATTAAATAGGAAAGAAAGTATAATAAAAGGCAACCTAGGTTAGATAGAAGTTTGTTTAAAGTTCAAGATAAATATTGTTTTGCTAAATGCCAACATTTTTTTTTTCATTTTAACCATTTCTGGGGGAAACTGTTATGTGTGCCTCATATTTTTCTGCCCTAATAAATAATTATTGAGCATACCTGTTTCGGGAGAGTTCAAGGTCGCCTTACTATTGTAAGAGAACTTACTTCATTCTCATTTATGTTATTGGGGGCTTAGGCAGCTTCACCTTAAGGTAATATGATTTGACCCTGGAGTAAACAAACTAGATGTGAAATGTAGGATCTAAAATAAGAAAGGTCTTAAAATATAAATGGCCTTTTAAAAACCGTACTCCTGAAATTTTGAGAGGGGCTCTGGAGACTATCATGGGTTGACGGCTAGCTGGGCCACTTCGTTGGCTGTGTGAGCTTGAGGAGGTTATTTTAATAAGCCAGAGCCTTCGTTTTTTTCATCTGTAAAATCATGATAATAATTGATGACACAGAGCTGATACGACAATTTAATGAGAAAATGCACATTTAGCAGTTAGTACAGAGCCTGGAATATACTAAGTGCTCAATAAATACTGGCTGCTGTTACTGGTCCATCGATTCTAGGCTTCCAAGAAGCCTTGGGATTATAATTTTGCTTCCCATGTAGTTTGACCACAAGACAAACCTATTGAGTCCCTTGCGTAGGTAAATATTTTGTTGTAACTAATACATTGACACCGTTTTTATTTAGGATTTTATGGAATCCACCAATGGTTGTAATAGTTTGGTGATTGAGTAAATAACTTGGAAGTGACAGGAATGGATCTTAGGTTATCATCTGTGTTCTCTCACTGTGATAATACATGCTGATATAAATGGACTGTTCAACAACAAACAAATTTAAGCTATAAATCAAATTAGTAATTTTTACTATATTTTAAGTTACATCAAAAATAAGTTTTCTTTTCCCTCTCTAACACTTAATATTAACTCAAAACTGAGTTAGCTAATAAATATTGCATATATTGTTCTTAAATATTTACAAGAAATTTTTATATGCCATAAAATATAACATTAATATTTAATTTTATTTTTGTCTTGCAGGTGTAAAGGGTCAAGTTTTTGATCAGAATGGAAATCCATTACCCAATGTAATTGTGGAAGTCCAAGACAGAAAACATATCTGCCCCTATAGAACCAACAAATATGGAGAGTATTATCTCCTGCTCTTGCCTGGGTCCTATATAATAAATGTAAGTATGCAATGCTAGTTATTGTTATTAAAATATTATAGAACTCATAATACCTATTCACCCAGAAGGAATCCAAAATAAGTCTAGGAAGTTCAAAAGTAGATCCATCAAGACAGAAAGAAAGGATAGTGTCAGACTTGCAATTGGAGTGAGTGGAAGAGGTGGAAATTATAGGGAAAAAAATATAAAAATTCATATTTTTTCCCTGATGGCAATTATTTTTTTAAATAGAAGCCAAATCCTATTTCTTGTGATATCTTTCATGATTAAAATGTAACCTCATTAATAAAAAAGAATAAGCAACGTAGCAAAGGTAGTTTATAGTTTCCTGGAATACAATACAACACCCATTCCATGGCATACACTTTCTACTATAAAAAATGAATTGGGAAAAGTTCCTTAAAATTCATTTTATAAGTGAAATCTGATCCACAAATTTTATCACTATATTCAGCAAATGATAGACATATTTTGCAGCCCTTTTTTCAACTGATGCAAGTAAAATTTCAGTTTTTAATTCCATAAAACACTTATTTCTGAGTCATTTAATCCTAAGACAGGAAGGCCTGGACACATCTGAGCCTGAGTGGATTTATGTGAAAGAACTAAATGAAGAAGTATTGATGTAGTTGGCCAGATTTTGCCTCTTTCTCTTTGATGTGACTTTCTCTGAGAAATCAAAGATTCTTCTACTTTGCTTAGTGGGTCTCATGCCAATGATAGCAGTCATTCTAGATAGAGCTAATCCTGGGAGAAGACAGTCATCTATTCTGTCGTGAAAACTGAGTTGGCATTTTATTATTTCATCTTGATGACATCATGGAAAAAACATGGTTTTTAGTTTATAAAATTCAGAATTCAGAGCCTCCCTGCTCCGTGGGTTCTCCCCAAGGTGCCTGGATGTGAGGCTTATCAATTGCTAATGCTTTTAGGAATTTCTACCCCTACTGAGAAAATGGACAGAGCTTGAAAAATCTCAACTCACTGTGAATCTTTGTCTAAAAAGGCCCTTTATTTTCCTCCTATTTACTGTGATATTTCTATTCTATTTAAAAATATGGTTTTCCTTGTAGTGAATCTAATTACTTGCATGCAACCTCATAAATAAGCCACACCTTTAGAATAAAGTTATGAATTGTTAATTTCCCATTAGTTAGGCTAACACAGTACACAATGACTGTAGGTTATTAGTTCTGGGACAAGATTTGAAGGTAAGACTCTGGACATTGAAATGAATGTGTAAAATACATACCAGTGAGTGGTTATGTAAATGTCATTCCCCATTTTTTCCCTTCTCCACCATATATAATAAAAGCATTTCTCAGTAGACATTGCCTGTAGTTAGTTTAGCATTTGTCTTACTTGTCCTGATCATTTCCTCCACTAAAAAATAAAAACAAATGAATAAATAAAAATGCCTAACCGAAGATTCAGGCTGATATGAACAAAACCAGGTAAAATCAGCCTAACTGAAGATTCGGGCTGATATGAACAAAACCAGGTAAAAATCAAAGCTTTTAAAGGAGGCTGGGTGTGGTGGCTCATGCCTGTAATCTCAGCACTTTGGGAGGCTGAGGCAGGTGGATCACCTGATATCAGGAGTTCAAGACCAGCCTGGCCAATGTGGTGAAACCCCGTCTCTACTAAAAATACAAAAAATTACCTGGGCATGGTGCTGTGCACCTGTAATCCCAGCTACTTGGGAGGCTGAGGTAGGAGAATCGCTTGAACCTGGGAGGCAAAGGTTGCAGTGAGCCAAGATTGAGCCCCCGTACTCCAGGCTGGGTGACACAGTGAGACTCTATCTTAAAAAAAAAAAAGAAAGAAAAGTTTTTAAAGGAAGCAATAGACTTGTAGATCAGCTGAAAAATTAGTAAGTTGAGAAAATAATTCTACTTGTAAATAATCTTGATACAAGGAGGATGTTAAATACACACTTGGGACAAAGGAAAACAGTTAACTCTTTTACCTTTGTGCCCCATGAAAAGGATGGTGGCAGAAACATCTGCTGCTTCCTTCTTTTGACTTACATCGCCAGATAAGGTACCTGTCTGTCCTTATTGCATTTTGTAATTCTTGGCAACGGCATTCACAACACCAGTCTCTGTCAACAGGCATTGGATAACTCAGCCTGCAGGACCAAATCTGTTGCTGGCCCAGAGGTCTGGCAGATGGTTACATGCATTGCACAAAGGCTGCATTTTAGTGGTGGATATCAGTGTTTTCAGTGTGGGCACCACGAAACATCTTAAGTCACTCATATAATTGCCTCTTGTTTCTTCTCAGGTTACAGTCCCTGGACATGATCCACACCTCACAAAGGTGATTATTCCAGAGAAATCACAGAACTTCAGTGCTCTTAAAAAGGATATTCTACTTCCATTCCAAGGGCAATTGGATTCTATCCCAGTATCAAATCCTTCATGCCCAATGATTCCTCTGTACATGAATTCACCAAGCCACTCACCGGCAACAAAGCCTAGTCTGTTCTTATTTTTAGTGACTCTTTTGCACATATTCTTCAAATAAAGTAAAATGTGAAACTCAACCCACATCATCACCTGGAATCAGGGATTGCTCACTCCAGGTTACTGCAACCCCAGCTCACTTTAGTGGGACCTTGACTGGAGAAACTCCACGATCTTCCTGAAGAAGAGAAATGGATGTTTCCAAATTCCATAGTAAGCAATATGTGGTGATAATGAAAGGAATGATTCAGTCTTGATGATGAATGGAACACACTTACCTAACAAGTACTGCTCATTTACACTCAAATTAATCTTGAAGTAGTCTTGAAATTTGTAAAAAAAACTTGAGAAGCAAAAAAGTGCCCGCAAAAAGAAGATCATTTCGTATACAGAGAACCTGATGAATATAAGCAATGAAGATGAACATTTATTGATCTTCTACATACAAGACGTCACCATGAGGCCAGGTGCAGCGGCTCACGCCTTTAATCCCAGCACTTTGGGAGGCCAAGGTGGTCGGCTCACCGAGTCAGGAGTTCAAAACCAGCCTGACCAACATGGTGAAACCCCATCTCTACTAAATATTAGCGGGGCGTGGTGGCAGGCACCTGTAATCCCAGCCTCTCGGGAAGCTGAGACAGGAGAATCGCTTGAACCCTGGAGGCGGAGGTTGCAGTGAGCCAAGATAGTGCTACTGTACTCCAGCCTGGGCGACAGAGTAAGACTCTGTCTCAAACAAAACAAAACAAAAAAACACCTCACCATGAGTGCTGTATGTGAAGAGATACTAAGTGCCATATATAATAAGTTCTCAGAGAAGGGAGAGATGATCATAGGACTGGGAATTGTTTTGCAAATGTTCTAGGAGGCGTGAGAGAAAATACGTAACCATGTCTCAGTGGCCCGAGAAAATACAGGCCTGAAGGGATAAGATTGTGTCTCTCTACAGAGCCTCAAAGCATACAGGTCAATTAAGTAAGCTCCTCCCCCTCCAGAGCCAAGTGTCCCTAGCTTTTGGCACCTGGATGCCACAGTCCTCTGTTAGGCTGATGACTCCAAAGGTGTAACTCTAGCCTCTTGCCTGAGCTTCAGGCTCACGTCCCACTGCCGACTGGACACATCCACCTGGATGTGACTCACAGGTACCTCAAACCCATCATGTGGAGTTCCTCATCCTGTTCCCCCTAGAGCTGCTCTTCCTGCTGCATTCTCTCTCTGTTACTAGGACCACCAAGCTAGGAACCTGGGAGTCATCCTTGATACTTTCTCTTCCTCCTTAATCCTGTGTATTCAGCAAGTAAGTAAAAGTTGGTGTTGGCCGGGCATGGTGGCTCACGCCTGTAATCCCAGCACTTTGGGAGGCCGAGGCAGGCGGATCACTTGAGGTCAGGAGCTCAAGACCAGACTGGCCAACATGGCCATCTCTGCTGAAAAAAAAAAAATACAAAAATTAGTCGCGTGTGGTGGCACATGCCTATAATTGCAGCTACTGGGGAGGCTGAGGCAGGAGAATCACTTGAACCCAGGAGGCAGAGGTCGCAGTGAGCCGGGATTGCGCCATTGTAGTCCAGCCTGGGCGAAGAAGCAAGACTCTGTCTCAAAAAACAAAAACAAAAACAAAAAAAAAGATTGGTGTTAATTATAAATATGGACGAATTCTGCTCTCTGCTCTCCATGGTTGTCAACACTGCAAAGTTGAGACCTCGTATCTCACCCACACTGCTGCAACAGCTTTACTGGTGCCTTGCTCCCAGCCTTCTCCTCCTCGGTCCATCCTCCACACAGCGCTGGGGAAGAGGAGCCACTGAAACAAAAGTCAGCAACTGGTTGTAGTTCATAAACACAGAGCTGTTTGTGTCCCCTGTATCTGGAATGCCATTATGACCCACTACGTTTTTTCTTTCCTACTCCCCTTAAAACTCAGTTCAGGTAGCAGCTCCACTAGGAAGCCTTGGCTGACCATAATCCCATTCAATTCCATTCCACCTCTTCGCAGGCAGTGTGGGGTTAGGGACCCTTCCTCTTTGCTCCCCAAAATAAACTGGTTATCTCTACTATTGGATTTACAACATTGTATTTTAATCTTCTACTTCCATGTGTGCCTTCTCTAGTAGAATGTGAGCTTTTTGAGGCCAAGGTCTGTTTGAAAAATTCATTGTTATATCTTCAAAGCCTAGCACATAGTAGGTACTGAATGAATGAATGAATGAATGAATGAACAAGGGGTGCCAGGAGACTGCTACTCCCAGTCCTTCCCAGAAGCGGCCTCGGGCTTTGAGTCATTTTATGAAGCTAGGTCTTATGCGTAGGCAATCTCCGGCTCACTGTGAACACTGACAGAAGACTGTTTTCATGTCTGTAATCAAGAATTCCAGGTACATTCCTTTTACTGGACCTTGAATTGACCCTAAGGTTGGTAGTAAAGGTATTATGTTTCCTCTTAACAGCACTACAAACTACCTTTTATTATCAGAAAAAAATCTTACCATTAGGACTCAATTTGAAGTACTAATGCTTCTCAAGTTCTCCACTATGAGAGTTACCCGATATTAAACCGTTACCTATAAGAATTAAGGGGGAAAGCAGTAAACAGAAAAGAAAAAAACAATAGCAACTCTGGTGAGCAGATTCCTTCCTTCCTTCCTTCCTTCCTTCCTTTCCTTCCTTCCTTCCTTTCCCTCTCCTCCCCTCCTCTCCCTTTCCCTTCCCTTCCCTTCCTTTTCTTCTTTCCTCCCCTCCCCTCCCCTTCCCTCCCCTTCCCATCCTTTTTTCTCTTTTTTTTTTACTTCATCCCCAGTGTCATAGTAATATAGGCCGATTTCTAGAAGTGCGGTGTATTACTCGTGGAAAGTGAGTTGCCTTGGTTCTTACTTTCAGTTGAAAGTTCTACGGGATCTAGAAATGAAACCATACTGGCAGGAGAGTGAGAACCACAAGGAATGAAGAGCTACAGAAGCATTTAGGCCATTTCTATGCCAAGCTTATTCTACATGCACAAAATTATACATGTTAATATAAACAAAATTTGGAGGCTTCTTTAAACCATTTATGAAATCTGGTAACTTGTGCAGCAGCAATAGATAACCAAAAAAAAAAAAAAATCTCATAATAATCTGAATATCTTGATCATTTTTATTTAAAGAAGTAGTAATTTATTATATACTTGAAAGTACATAATATTGCAAAAATGACTTTGGTATATTACAAATAAAACTACATAAGACGAAACTTGATTTGCTGTCAAGCCCCAAACAATTTTTCAACTGGGCATTGAATTTTAACTTTTCTAAGATAGCAATTTTTGAAGGGACACAAACTAAAATCTGAATTCATCGTTCATGAGCCTTAATGTAAATCTCTTGCTGAAATAACGTTTTTAAAAACAGAATTTAGTATCAGACTCAAAATCATTTAAAGACTAACAAAACACAATCATGGTATTCTGTGGTCAAACCAGGTACCCAAACCACCTCCCTGCCCAACACCTTTCCTGCTGTTTCCTTCCCTCTTGGGCTGGTGGTTATGCCCCTCCAGCTCTACGTTCAGCTATAATTCCTTTTATAGAGAAACCAACATGATACACACTTTCATGATGGGAGGAAAATGTGGGAGTGAAATGATATTTAGAAAGCAGCAGTCAGGCGTGGTGGCTCATGCCTGTAATCCCAGCACTTTGGGAGGCTGGGGCAGGCAGATCACTTGAGGTCAGCAGCTCGAGACCAGCCTGGCCAACATGGTGAAATGCCATCTCTACTAAAAAAAAAAAAAAAAATAAACAATTAGCCAGCTGTGGTAGTGCACACCTGTGATCACAGCTCCTCGGGAGGCTGAGGCAGGAGAAATCGCCTGAACCCAGAAGGTGGAGGTTGCAGTGAGCCAAGATCGCATCACTGTGCTGCACTCCAGCCTGGGTGACAGTGAGACTCCGTCTCAAAAAAATAAATAAATAAATAAAATAAAAAAAAGAAAAGGCAGAAGCCCTGGATTCAAACCCACTACACATTCAGTTTCCTTAGCCGTAAAATGGAGAACCCACCCCACCCCGGCTGAACAGCGATTCTGACTGTTAGAAATAGCGGTAAGAGATGCTACATTTTTGGTGCTCGCTCAGGTTTAGGAAGGATAGTTAACACTCAGGTAATAACTATTTTGAAGGCAGAATAATATACCTTAAAGAGTACACCTACTCAAATGTTGGTAAATGTTGACATGATTGAATCTAAATGGCAAAGAGTATTTTAGAAAAACATTAAGTCCCTGCAGATAAATGACAGTGTTGATTTGGATGCTTAATTTAATTACATTCAGACTTGAACTGTTGGATGTATTAGAAATGTTAAAAGCTTTTTCTCAACATTTCCAAAAGTCTTTCCAAGAAATCGGTGTTATGTTTTGTTCCAGAAGCAAATTTGCATTTGTGATCTGTTTCTACAAATGGTATAAGTTAGCTCTATGTTTAGAAAGTAAAAATATCTGATGTTAGATTGGAAGTATCTCTTCCTGGGGAATCCAGAAAGGTAAGCATAGCATATTGTCTTACTGCAACAGATAAGTTGCTTATTGAGAACTCTGGTTGTTATTCTATATGGTAACAATATAGTTGATGTATATTTTATGATAGATCCTTTATATTTTCCTCATGACTTTGGAAGGGGGAAGGGGGAGAAAATTATGATGACCAGACTAGTGAAAGAGCATTGAAAGTCCACAGTACTGTATCTAAAGTAGAAGTTTGGGTTTGTTATAGACTTTATATCGACTAATAAGCAGATACTGTACAGTATTGCTCACCATTTTATCATACTTTTGCATATGAACTACTCCATAGCCTTTTATAGATGTTTTATAGCTGATTTTACCAGTTTTCCTGGTAACTTTTTTGTTTTCCTTTTTTTTTTTTTTTTTTTTTTTTTTTTTTTTTTTTTTTTTTTTGAGATGGAGTCTTGCGCTATCGCCCAGGCTGGAGTGCAGTGGCACGATCTCGGCTCACTGCAGCCTCTGCCTCCCAGGTTCAAGCAATTCTCCTGCCTCAGTCTCCCAAGTAGCTGGGACTACAGGCATCCACCACCACACCCACTAATTTTCTGTATTTTTAGTAGAGACAGGGTTTCACCGTGTTAGCCAGGATGGTCTCGATCTCCTGACCTCATGATCTGCCTGCCTCTGCCTGGGCCTCCCAAAGTGCTGGGATTACAGGCGTGAGCCCCTGTAATCTTTCTTTAATACTATAACTAAGAATTTACTAAAATGCACAAATTGTCTAAGACTGTAAAGTTTATTGGGGAGAGGCCATGACTACCTCTGAATTTAGTAAATTTAAAATATTTCTGATTCGCAATAAAGAACTAATATTCATATAAATAATATATGCTTTTTTCCCATTATGTTACCTGAAAATAAGTACTTACACAAGTATAATAAAGTCCACTAAAAATAACTGATTACCACCAAATAAAGCTTGGGAAAGACCAAATTTAATGACCTTTTATGAGGCAATAATATTGCAACAACTCTTCAAAGTCCAGATAGTTCTTCCAGAACATGTTATATATATTATATATAACACATTCCAAATTAATTTGTGTTGTAGGGCAGTGTGTTCCATGGACAAGATGATGGATGGAAAGTATGCCTTCTGGTCAGAAAAAATATTTGAAAATTCACAATTTATATTAATGTAATAAAGAATCTGAGAAATGCAGAAAAGAAATGGATTTCCCAAACATGCTAAGCTATGGGACCATTTCCTTAAATAATACAGCCTCATACCATCCCTTGGACTAACATACCTATATTTCCAAACACATTTTGGGAAATACTGATATATTGAGAAGTCTTTTGTTCTGAATAACAAATTTTATTGATTTCCAGGTGCTTTTCAAATACAGAGAATAGTGGTAAACAAAGAATTAAGTCCTAACCCCTGCTAATACCGATTTAGTCATAGGACAGAGGATGGGCCCAAGTTTACATCTGCTCTTTGAAACACACTCAACAAATAATAGTTTAAATGAGACATTGCTGAGTAGGAAATGGCTAAATTACAGGTACCAATTTTTAAAAAGTGATAAATATCTCAATTTAGAAAATAAGCAGGAAATAGTTTCTCTGTTTTCAAGAGGATTCATTACATAGAAACCCCTTAAGCAGAAGGTCCCCGGTATATTTTGGCTAGACTTCAATATTTAAATTTGCAGCTTTTTTTTTTTTTTTTTTTTTTGCAGTGGAGTCTTACTCTGTTGCCCAGGCTGGAGTGCAGTGGTGGGATTTCGGCTCACTGCAACCTCCACCTCCCAGGTTCAAGTAATTCTCATGCCTCAGCCTCTCGAGCAGCAGGAATTAACAGGCACGCACCATGACACCTGACTAATTTTTGCATTTTTAGTAAAGACAGGGTTGCACCATGTTGCCCAGGTTGGTCTTGAACTCCTGGCCTCAAGTGATCCGCCCACCTCAGCCTCCCAAAGTGCTGGGATTACAGGTGTGAGACACCACTCCTGGCTAAGGGTTTTTTGTTTGCTGTTTGACAACTGAGAATAGAACTATTATTTCTCTCCTCTCTTGGAGCGGTCTCTCAGCGCTGTTAAGAGTCTACCGAATGTACTGACTCACACCTGTAATCCCAGCACTTTGGGAGGCTGAGGCGAGTGGATCACCTGAGGTCAGCAGTTTGAGACCAGCCTGGCCAACATGGTAAAACCCCGTCTCTACTGAAAATACAAAAATTTGCCAGGCATGGTGGTTCATGCCTGTAATCCCAGCACTTTGGGAGGTCAAGGCAGGCAGATCAGGAGGTCAGGAGTTCAAGGCTAGCATGGTGAAACCCTGTCTCTACTAAAAATACAAAAAATGAGCCACACATGGTGGCATGCACCTGTAATTCCAGCTACCGGGAGGCTGAGGCAGGAGAATCATTTGACCTTGGGAGGCAGAGTTTGCAGTGAGTGGAGATAGTGCCACTGCACTCCAAGCTGGAGTGAGAGATTGTCTCCAAAAAAAAAAAAAAAAAACGGCCAGGTGCAGTGGCTTACCCCTGTAATCCCAGCACAGCACTCTGGGAGG